GGGTGCCTATTCCGAACTACCGGTACACCTCGTTTCACGAGGAGTAACGGTAGTTCGGAATAGGACCCTAGTCCGAACTACCTAGTTCGAGCCCCGTGTAGCCGCGCTGCACGGGGTTCGAAGCAGAGGGGATTTAAAAAAGGCGGCTCCCCGCTTATGCTAATGAAGCCCGGGAAATTCAAATCCCGGGCTTCATTAGCAAGTGCGGTATGCATACATTACCCCGCTAGTTCGAACTAGCGGGGTAGTGTAGACATACCCTGGCAGTTTCACAGCCTCTGACAGCCCCCTTTCCAATCCTGTGCAGAGGCCCCCCAAGACAGCCTAGAACTAGTGTAAGGGCCTTGCCCCCTAACTCATTGCACGGGGTGGATGGGGGCATGGCCACACCCCCTCTACGGTGGCTCGTCTCTGCTGCTGGAGTCCATGGGGGTGGATCAGGGGAGGGTGACCAAGTGTCTGGTTGGACGGGGCCGGTGAGTGGTCCTGGCACCACCCTAAGACTACTGGACTCTGATACGAACACGCCAAACGTGGTTGCAATCACTGTCCTGTGTCTGCACTAAACCTTGTGCAACGGGGCCAAGTGAGGGGTCTGTGGAAAGCTCATGAGTCGCTGGCTCTGTTCATACTGCTCTGGGCAGGTACCAATTTTGTACATGCGGTGAGGAGCTGTGTTTGCTTCTGTGGGATTATCAACAGGCCTCGCCCACCTGTAGCAGGGAGGAGGGCGGGGAGGGGTTGCCCTCACGTGACTAGCAGCACTTCTCTGACAATGCACCTCGAATGGGGCAGCCCACAGGTGAGGAACTTTGCTGTGACCATGCAGATCAGCAGGTCAGCGACGGCTGCTACGGACTGAGTCCCTCACGGACAGGTGACCTGCTCATGTGACACATTCCAATTGGGGAGGTGCTTTCAAACGGGGAGAACAATGGAATTCCCTCCACAGGGCAGGGTTTAAAAGGGCCCAAGAGATTCCTCCGTTTGTCTTCATCCAGCTCATCACTTCTGAAGAATCTTTTCTATGAACTGGACTCAGGAAGACCGATGACCAATCCCGAGGGCGTGTTCCGGATACTTATCAAACTGCAGATCAATCCACCTCTGCTACCAGCCTGCGCCAGGAACGGTGCGTTTGGGGGGTGTAATTTGATTCCTTCAACAATAGTACTCTCAAGCTTTTCTCTCTCTGGGTATGTCTCCACTGCCACCTTAGTTCGAACTAGGGT